AAGTTGCACTTAGAGTAATTACTGAGACAAGTGAGCTAGTTAAAGTTTTAGCTTTAGCGATTTATACTATATATACAGCTTACAATTGTTTAATAAAACACATATAACTAGCCTGACAGAGGGTTTAAAAAAAAAAAACAGGTATTTAAAAAAATATATATATAATTTTAAATTTTAAAAAATTTTGATTTATATTTAAAAATAATTATTTATATTAATTTGATTCTAAATTTTTAGGTAGTATAATTTTTATCAAAAATATTATACTTTAGTTTTGAAATATAAATTAGTTTCTATTGATTATAACTAAATGTTTTAATGATATCATTAATAATAAAAAAAGAAAAGTTTACAAAAAATATTTTTTTTAACTGAACAAGTTTTTAAAAAAAACAATTATAATATAAAAAGATAAATAAAAAATATATAATATAATACCTATATATTTTATTAAGTTTTTTTGATACAAAAAGATTTTTTTAAAAAAAAAGTTATGACTTTTAAATTTTTATTTTAAGAATTCAAAAAAATAAGTTTTTCAAATAATATATAGTTTTAGTAATTAATAGATAAGTTTTTTAAATAAATTTAAACTAGAAAATATCTTAATTGAATAAATAATTATTGAAAAAAAATTATTTCTTTGAAAAAAAAATTTTTTAAATTTTCAATACATTAATTTAACAATTTAACATTTTTTAGAATAATTTATAATAATAAACTATAGATAATGATTCTAACGATCATGATTTTAATACCAAGTTATTAGAGGAATAAAATATTGTCTTTTAAATTTAATTTAAAGTAAAGTCTTTGTTAAAATTTTATTTTATTTTAATTTGAACTAGTTTAAAAGATTTCATATATTTTTTAAGTAACATAATTTTTTAATTAATAACATATAAAGATAAATTAATTATTATATAAAAGTTTATATAATATTGCAGATATTTATTTAATACCTTAATAAAGATATATAATAATGGTATGATTGTGGATTAAAAAAAAAAAAATTCTTATAATTTAGTTATATTTATATTATACTATGAAATTGATAAAAATTTTTTATTATTTTAATAATTTTGATAAAAAAATTTTTTTTTAAAGATATTAATTATTGAATCAATTTTTATTAGTAATATCAATAATAGTAAATTGAATAATAAATTAGTTAAAGAAAATTTTAATAACAAAAAATCTTTAAATGTCAAAAATGTCAATAAAATAAATTGAAATTTTCAATCATCAAATGATCTAAAAATTTATTTTGATTTTAATAATATAGAATTTCATTAATTGATAAAAAAAAAATAAATAAATAAAAGATATAATGAAAGCTGTAAAAAAATAAAAAGAAGTTTAAAATAAATAGGAAAAAAAAATATCATAATAATTGTAAATAAATAAATTTAAACAAATTAAATTTTTAACTTATAAAAAGATTTATAATAACAATTTATAAATGATAGCTCGAAAATAAAATAATAATTTCAATAATTTATTTAATTAATGAGCCAAATTGGAATTTTTTCAATTAAAATGACTACATGCAATAAATACTTTGGACAATGAGCTCAGCTATGATATCGTCTTTCGACAGACAAAATAGTGTAATAAATAAAGGTCACCATTGAAGTAATTAGTTAATGTGACATGCACGAATTCTATCAATCGTATATCGCATTTCTCAAAGATCACCCTTCTTGACATCACCCGCATTTTTGCCTTTGAATTTAACCGATTGATCCAGAAATCCCATATCCACCACATAATCTCTTAATACTAGATTAATCTCATCCAATTCTTGGACTTGTGATGATGACATGATGGGTTGAAAAGTTTCATCCCCTGCATTTCTCTCAAAGTGTTTCCTTAGCTCTTTTCTTGCGGATACCGAGAGGCAGCATCCAACTGCGAATACGTAAAATGGACGTTACATTAAATGATGTTTTGAAAGTTTCAATTAATGGGACGGCTTAAATACTTACAGTTATGAATGAATCCCCAAGGGTACATTTTTGCGTCGCCTGATTTGAATGATGAAAATATCGATTAAAAAAGAAAAGGAAAGAATACCGTGGATATAAATTAAAAAAGATATATACCAAATAGGAAGTAATATAACGAAGCGGCGATTGCGAGAGGACCTCCCATTAAACCCAATAAGGTCAACGCCTAAGTTTTTTGAGATATAATAATTATTAATTATTATACAATATCTATATATATATATATATATATATATATATTACACGTGGATTAAATATATTCTTACCGTTTTATCTCTAGAACAGTACAAAGAAGAGCAAAAAATGAATAAATAACTTATTAGCGTTGCCAAGTAAGCATATGATAGTAAAACTTACTTTATTTCTTGTTGCACATTTGTTCGAAACGATTGAGCGGTTATCTGAATAGTGGCATACACCGTTGGGTCAAATTCCGCATCGGAAATTGGTAAGGAACCTGTCGAATAAAGGAGAAATTAACAATTGGCGTGCAAGGGGGATATCTGTTCACTGAATGAATGCCGGATACTTACGAAACGTTGTTTGTATAAAAGGATCATCCTTGTCTTTAATGAGCAATCGATAAAAACAATGGGATCGATTCAATAGGGGTCAAAATAATTATTTCGAAGGACAAGAATTCTTACATGAGGGTGGGATCCCAAAATAATTCAACCAAGTTGGTATCATCAATTTTTGAATAAAACGAGAAACCGTAATAATATGAGTCTAAGATTAACGCAAGTCAATTTCCAATCAGCATCAATCCGTCCCGAAAAAAAAAAAAAAATTTCAAAACCATAGAAATTCAACTAACGCGATTATATTCGAGCGTGTAAACGTTTAGGGAGTCGAGAGACGTAATAAATGTCTGATCAAATGATGTTCTGTTGCTTGGAGATCCTTGTTCTTGTGGAGCCGTGGTAACAAAGTGAACGGGCGATAAACCTATGTTACGCAGGTAATTTGAATTAACATTTGTCTAAAAATAGTTGATCGAAAATAAATATTATCGGGTAATGCAATTACTTTGATCATAGAGAGATATTGTCAAATCCGTAAGGGTTTCAGCACTATTAATGGATGAATTACTTCCGGATATTACTCTAAGCACAACATTGGAATTCGCTTGAGTGGGAAAGAAAACAAAGTTTTGTGTCGAATTCGGAAAGAAATATCCCGACGTAGAAACATCATCCCCTATGGTCCAAGTGAATGTATCCGCACAAACACTTCTAGTGAGGTTGCCACCAGATGTGTCTAAATGTCAGAAGTAAAGGGATTAATTAGATCTATGGACGCGACTACATGTTTGTTGGTCATATTACCTACCTGTCATATTACAATCCATATCGAATGGAAAGGACTTCGGCCCAACAATTTTTAGTGCTAACAACAAAATTATATGGTAAAATTATCGCCAATTCTTTATGATAATGGATTTTAGAAACAACACTCACATGGTACTGGAATGTTGAGACTTTGGTATGACCATAGACGAATTGTTGGAACTTCATTCATTATATCAATGACCCCTATGATAAAATACGCAACTATGAGTGCAAACAAAATAACCGCAACTATAAATCTACTCCAGTAGATGGATGTAGGTTCCGTTAACTTCTTCTGTAGAAAAAGTCCGATAAATGAAGACATGATTAAATTACTTGCTTTGACGTACAACGTGTTAAAGTATTTTATACCTAAAAATCATTCCCTAATTTGGCTCCAGGTTTCCTATTCTGCTATCCTGTATTTGTTCTGCTAACGCCAACCACGCCAAATTTAATCTGATAACATTCTTGTCA